CAGTTTCAACTTGAACTTGATGAAAACTGGGCTTGCTTTTCTTTCCCCTCCCCAAAGTGTGATGCTCTAAATGTACTGATTCTGTTCTCAACTGTTTGTCCATGTTTCATTAAGATCAAAAAAGGGGGGCAGTTTTGAATTTTGTAAATTATTTTCTTCTTCCCCCAGAATTGAAAAACGAGACAAATACAGCCGGAGACGTCCTTACAATGATGATGCGGATATCGACTACATTAATGAAAGGAATGCCAAATTCAACAAGAAAGCTGAAAGATTCTACGGGAAGTATACGGCTGAAATTAAACAGAATTTGGAAAGAGGAACAGCTGTCTAATCCCTTCAAGAACTTGAGAGCTTGAATGGAGTTTATCAGAGCTTGAGAATGGAGCCAAAATTTCTGCTAGCAAATTCAAGTCTCTCTGAAATTTTATCAGTAATCCAGAAGTTAGTTTATGCTTTCCCACTCACATTTAGAAATAAAAATGTTTCTTAAACGTATATATTTCCACATTTTTGTGCTTGGATATAAGATGTATTTCTTGTAGTGAAGTTGTTTTGTAAAAATCTACTTTGTATAAATTCTAATTATATTATTTTTCTAAGTATTTTAAATATGTATGACTGTTTCATCTTTGAAGCATTTGGGCTTAGGATTGCTGGCAGCATACACCAAATGCAGTCATGCTGCTTTGAATTTTGAACTTGATAATGTCTAGACTCGGGAGCCATTTGGAGTTGTGGACTCTGAAGCCAAGGGATTGTGGGCACGAGGGAGATAGCAGTGGCTGCTGGAGGCGGGGCTGCTTGTGACCGTGTCAGGGAATAATGGAGCTGTCCTCCCCTGAGTATTGACCATGTACAGTTCCCTTTTTAACAAGCAATAAAATGCCTTGGATTAGAATCTCTAACACTATCATTTAAAATAAGTGTTTGTATGTGTACATTTGTCTCCACATGTCATGTTTCCATTCCACGAACACTGAACGTTTTATTATGGAAATTTCAAACACATTCGAGAGAAAACTAATAATACAGTGAATCCCATATACCCAGTACCCGTGTTCAGCAGTCATCAATGCATGGCCAGTCTTGTTTCATCTTCTATCCACTTTTTCCTTCATGACTCTCATATTATTTTGAAGCAAA